AATGTTAGATGTAAGTTCTTCACACGTTTACAAGTGTACGTTCTGCACTAACTATGCATTTTCCGCGGATTTTAAGTCATATATCAGACATAGTATGAAAAGAAAATAGAGTTACCGAGCTCGGCTTCTGTCCACCTAACTTTTCTCTCGTAACTCCGTTACTATCAACCCAATATTCGCGGAAATTAGAACAGGTATATTTCGGACGTAATAAAGCAAGCTAAAGAAAGTACCAAGCTCCAGGTCCCGTCCTCTGCCTTAGTTCACTATCATAATTTCGCTATTAACAGTTCAGATTCCATGAAACTTTAAAAGACATATTTCATATATAATAAACAAGATAAAGTTAGTTCTCAAGATATAGCTCCAGTTTCCGAATCAGTTTGCTCATGCATTTTGACTGTTAACAGTCCAATTTTCCTGAGATTTAAAACATATTTCATTTGTAGTAAACACGATCAAGGCAGATATCTAGCTCCAGCTTTTGTCCCCCCCCCCGCTTTGGTTCACTCCTATAACTTCGCTATTAAAAATTCAAATTCCATGAGAATTAAAACCGCTGTATTTATGATGTAGTAAATGAGATCAAAGCAATTACCGAGCTCCAGCTATTGCCCCCGTCTTAACTGTCTCTTGCAAGTTCCTTTTTACATATTAATTCTCCAGAGAATTAAAACAGTTATTTCAGACGCATTAAGAAAAGAAAATAGAGTTACCGAGTTTCAGTTCGGTTTTAAGTAAGTTTGTATGTGCAAATTTATGCAATTTATGTGAAGTGTTATAAGTGTTTTATATAAGTCTGAGCATATGTTTGTGTAAGTTTGAGAATAATTGTAGGTGTAGGTAAGAGAGTGATATATTTATATTTTGTGCAAGTATTTATGAAATTTATGTAAAAGTGAGTGTATCATGGGTATTTTATGAGAGTCTTTAGTATGAAAGTTCTGATTTGTAGTTGTAAGTGTGAAAGAATGTTGTCTGGATAAATAAATAAATATATAAATAATAAATGAAGAGTTGATGTTTCAGAGAGAATAAGCTGTTGTTTTAAATAAGTTATGTTACATAAGTTAGGTAGGTGTGGTTAAGGAAAGCTACGTTGTAGAGGAGATAAGTTAGTAAGTTAAATCATGTAGAACAGGTTAAGGAAGTTGAGTAGGTTAGATTAGGTAAAGGGAAGTTTTGTTAAGTTAGGTTTGGTAAGTTATGTTGATTAGGTTAGGTACGTTTCATTATGTAAGATAAGTTAGTAAGTTAGGTTAGGCCACGTTAGGTAAGATACATCAGGTAGGCTAGGTTATGTAAGTTGGGTTAATTAAGTGAGGTCAGAAAATTTGGGTAAGTTATGTAAGTTAGGTAAGTTACATCTGTTAGGAAAGGTATGGGAAGCTATGTTATGCAAGTTATGTAAGTTAGGTAAGTTATGTGAGGTAGGATAGGTAAGGTATGTTATGTTATGCATGCTATGTTAGGCAAGTTATGAAATTTAGATAAATTACGTCAGGTATGCAGGCGATGAGTCACAATAACGTGGCTGAAGTATGTTGACCAGACCACACACTAGAAGTTGAAGGGACGACGACGTTTCGGTCCGTCCTGGACCATTCTCAAGTCGATTTGAGATTTACGTCAGGTAGAGAAGTTATGTTATGCAGGCTATGTAAGTTAGGTAGGTGAGGTTGGAAGTTATGTTATGTAAGTTAGGATAGATTGGGATAGGTAAGTTATGTCAGGTATGTTAGGTTATGTAAGTAACATCAGGTAGGGGAGGTTAGGTAAGATTTATAAGTTATGTTATAGATGTTATATTAAATTCCGTGAGGTAGGTGAGGAAATGTAAATTGGGTTAGGAAAGTTACATTAAGTTAGGTTAGCTCAGGTAAATCAGGTTAGTTAGGATAATGCATTGTTGTTCAGAGAATAGTTTTAAGATAAAGTGGATTTTAACAGAATAATAAATAATAGAAATGCAAGTTTGTTAATGGAATGTTAAACGAGTTACTTAAAGAGCAGCGGTGTTTTGTGAGTTATTATTAACAGAGGTGAAACAGTGATTGCAGTTAACATGTTTACCATAGTACCTCGGTATTAAGTTGATATAAAGTTTTATCATAGATAAAATATAAAGGTTATCTTGAGATGATTTCAGGTCTTTTTGGTGTCCCCGCGGCCCGGTCCTCGACCAGGCCTCCACCCCCAGGAAGCAGCCCGTGACAGCTGACTAACACCCAGGTACCTATTTTACTGCTAGGTAACAGGGGCATAGGGTGAAAGAAACTCTGCCCAATGTTTCTCGCCGGCGCCTGGGATCGAACCCAGGACCACAGGATCACAAGTCCAGTGTGCTGTCCGCTCGGCTCCCCCTAGAAAAGGTATGAAAAGTTATTGAATAAAAAAGTTAAATTACGAGATATGTCTCTGGTAAAAGTCTTTTTCGTAATAATATATTTGACTGAGAAAAACTACTGCTCAATGGAAGCTACATAATTAAGAAATGTTACAAATGTTGATAAAAGTTTACATGTTTGGTTTGAAATAATACTTAAAGTTGTTTGCGACTACATACAGACATGTCTTTGTAAGTTTATCACAAACTATAGATTAAATATGAAGCAGGAACGTTACCCTTGACTATTGAAGGTGAATTCTTAATTAAGATGAGACTTCGTCTCATGGAACAGATAGAATCAGAACATTATAGAGATGTAGAATTGGGGAAATGAGAATAATACAGTAAATAACTTGGAAATTAAGTGAAAGAGTAGGGGAAGTGACGGGCCAAATGCATGTGGAGTAGGCTGGGTAAGTGAGGGGAAGTGCGTGCGGCGCTGAGGGGGTGAGGGTGGGTGAAGATAAGGCCACAGTGAGCTGGGGGGGTGTGGGAGGAGATAAGGGAGTAGACGGGTGCGGGTGTGATGATTAAGGAGGAGGCAGGTGTGGTGGTGGGCGGTTAGGAGGGTAAATGGAGGGAGGAAGAGAGAGAGATAGACAGAAAAGGCATGTTATGACAAATTAACCATACCTGGAGTGTGTTTATTTACATACATATGTACGCACGCACACACGAGTATTGAAAGAGGGGTTATGACTCAGTTTTACCTTCAATGATATGCATGTACTTTAATCTGGGAAACATTTAATTAATAACCACACTTTAGTGCGCGCGGCACTAGCTGAAAAAAAGTGGGTTGTGCGCGCGGCGTTCTGGGCGCTCAAGCGTAAACACAAAAAAGTTTATAATCTTTTCACGCTCCTAACATCAATTCTCGAGCTACGTTTTTCATTTTGGTATCAATGCGTTGGCAATAAAATTCTCTACAAGATCATATGCATAAAATGTCACCCAAGCATTTGGTATCCCACCACGAAGTAAATAAACACGAAGATGACTCGCCGTGACACCCAAACAGGAAGTAAATGTTCATACTCTTTCGTTTGTTGCCAGCCTCACAGTCATCCTACAGCGCTCATTTGATATCACTGAACTCGCAATAAAATTCCCCACCCAGACATATGCCTATCAATGTCTAATTATGGTATCGGGTGGCCCGCACGAGTGTGGGAACTGGGCGAAGCGTTAGCCCTGATTTCAGCAGGGACGACACTGGTGTGATGCAGCGCTTTGAATGTTTATACTTATTTCACTGTCCTGACATTATTTCTGGAGCTACGTATTTCATTTTTATAGCAATGTGTTCGCAATAAAAAGTTCTATAAGAACATGGGTAGAGTTGGCCAACACAGCGTCAAATAAATTTGCGGCGAATAAAATCTTACGCGTGTTTGTACCCGTGAACGTCAAAAGTTTTTACTTTGCTCATGTTTTTTCAAGTTTATACTTGTTTCACACCGTTTTTTTTTGTATAGTGTTCGGAATAAAATTCCCTACACAGACATATGCATATCATATACAATTCCTTGGAATTCACAGCTGTAGAGATGACGGAAAACACACAACCGGAACCCGCTCTTGACACTCCAACTCACACCCGCAACACCCACAAAAAAAGTTTCTCTTGTTTCGTGTATACTTACTTTAGTTTTCATGCTACAGTTCTCATTTAGGTATCAAAATATTCATAAGAAAATAGACTACAATACTAAAACAATCTAAGACAATTATGTGTACTTACCAAAGCAAAGACGATTGTAGTAAAATAAGTTGAGCATTTTATCTCCACTCCACCTCCTTCAGGTACTGATTCCTGAAGTTGCTCAACAGATGTTCCTAGGTGGAGTGAAGCTGGTGCGGGTGGTTATTTCTTGTCCACCCAATACACCCTTTTCCTGTGATAAGTGGTGTAACAAGGTATGACGCAAAGTGGAACATCGCATGTCTTGCACGCTATACCAGTTTCCTTCCTGATACCCGACTTTGCACACACTTCACACTTGCGACGTTTGGGGATTTTTACCAGCTCATGTTTCAATTTATAGTTCAGGCGAGTCTCTGCTATAACAACACGTCGCTGTTTTCTCTGGGTTGGCAATAGGCTACTGTCTGAATCGTCGCTCTCACTATTGTTTTCAAACACTAATGTGGAATATGAATTATCTTCATCAGATTCAGCTTCAGCACTAGGTGTAGACGTGAAGAGAGGGCGCCTCACACCCGACGGGCCAGGTGTTGACGGGTCAGCAGCAGGATACACAGGACCAGTGTCATCATTTATGTCTGGAGCATGAACTAGATGTGGAGATGGTGTAGTTGTTGCAGGCCACTCTGCCTTGTCAAATTTCAATAAAGACCAAATAGCAACTTCATGGAACTGGAGCAGAGTTAGTTTCCTTCGATCATCTGTGTTGGCCTTGTACAATGCATAAGCGTTTTGCAATGTCATTTGCAAGAAATAAAATGTTATTTTCTTCGTCCACTTGTGACATTTCCTGGCGAAATGGTAATACTTTACCATTTGATCAAAGTGGTCAACACCCTTCATGAACTTATTGTAGTCAACAATTGCCTGTGGTTTGTTCACCACAACCTGCTGTAGTCTTACTGTTCCATCTGCCCTGCGAACTCGTTTTCTTTTCTGAACTTTCTTTGTGTCTGCATTGTGTAGGTTGGTAATCATAGACACAACTCGCTTGTCTTTCCACAGCAGAATGAAGGTGTTGTCCTTGCGGCGGTAGACTATAGTATTCACATCAATCTTACTCTTCACAAGTTGTTGCAAGTCTTTTGGGGCGCCACGTAAGAGTCTAATTGTTCCACAGGTGTACACCCCCACTTCTCGCAACTTCTCTGTAAGAGTAACTGAGTTGTAATAGTTATCCATATAGAGGTGGTGCCCCTTGTTCAACAATGGCCGCATCAAACTAGTAACTGTTTCAATGATTGTTCTACCAATGCCAGAGTAAACCTCAAATGAATAAATGTAGCCAGATGTTGATTCGGCTAGCATATAAAATTTGACGCCATATTTGTCTGGTTTGCTTGGATTGTACAATTTGAACGACAGCCGGCCTCGCCATGCCATTGTGCCTTCATCCAAACAGAACTCTCTCATTGGGTAATACACTTCTTGAAAACGGTGTCTTAGGTAGTCCATCACTGGTCTCACTTTGATCAATTTATCTGTATTGTCCACTGGCACCGCATTGCTGTTGAACGCATGAAAAAACTGACCTATGTGCTGAAACCTTCTGCTCGTCATAAACATGTCGAAGAATCTTGTATGCCATGATTTATTTGTCTGCCAATACATGCGCATAGTGGGGTTTTTTGTTACTCCCATCAACATACACAGTCCTAAGAATCTGGCCATTTCTTTCAACTTCACTGGTTTCCAAATATCATCAACATTTTCATTAGCCAGGTTGAATAATTGTAAAGCGTACAGATTGGTTTCATATGCCAAGTAATGAATCAGCTCACGAGTAATAAACAACTGAATATATGCAAGTGCACTAGTTGGTTTTGTAATCTTTAGCCCTGGGCTTCCAGTAAAATCATCGAACACTGGTGGAACATTGTCCTCAAGCCACCCACCACTGGCCCCAGGCTTGCGAGTACGTACCGAACACGTACGTTTGCGAGGAGGCTGGGGTGCCTCATCTTCGTCACTAGGTTCATCCTCACCTGATATATCAAAGCTAGAATCACTACCACTATCAACAAATGGGGTTATTTTCAAACGACGAGTAGGATGTCGTTTACTTGGCTGGATTTTAGGAGTGCACGCACCACGTGTGCGCCTTGTGGTGAGAGGCGGCGGTGCTGGTGCCCCCTCCTCCTCCTCCTCAGTTTGGCTTTCAGTCTCATCCTCTGTTGAGTCATCCCCAAGGGGTCTACGGCCCCCAATTTCAAATTCTTCTTCTACATCCTCACCTTCTGCATCACTTCGTTCATTTTCAGCTTGATCAAAGGCATCCAAGACATTGGGAATCTTGGTGGGAGTGAGCCTCACACCAGCAAACCTCCTATAGATGGCGGTAATCCTGTCTTTTCCACTTGATTCTGAGGCTCCTGTAGCCGAAACACCGCTTGGGCCTGGTGCTGGATCCATTATTGATGAATTTAGTGGGTTATAAACACACACAAACGGATAATAATCCTTGAAAACGTGCGAGTTTGGCGGCCGAGGGGATAGAGATCCGATCGCTCCACGTGACAACAAAACAATGGGCCTGTCACGTGACCCAGTAGGCCGACGTGACTTGCGGCTCCCCGAGAGAACGGGAATTTCATGGCGCGGAGTTTGAAACAAACCCGAAGTTAATCAGATTTAAACTGGATTTTTTACAAATATTTTAAACCGCACCGTAAAATTACGTCGTGATCCGACAAGCGGTTAAGGAAAACGCCCGTAATTCCAACTCGAAAATCCAGGAAAGGTTTTGTTCCATGTCCAAATTTCTAAACTTTTGGCCAGTGTTAGAGTAGGATTTATAAGTTGTGATTAGCATAATTTTGGTATCTCAATAAACTCATGTTAAATTTCCCGTCTGTGTCAATTGTTGAATCCTCTTAGCCTTTTGGATATAGTGGCTGACAACCATCCCATAATTACTGACAGTCATAGAAAGTACTCTCCAAGTCAAGCAATGTTTCTTGCCTCGTTGCTTGATATAGTCTCAATGGTCAAAGGTAGATGGTGGCAGCGTATTTAATCCTGTGTAGCATTTCCTTGTTTCGCAGTGTACCTTTTGGTTCCGGTGTAACCATCATATGTCAGCTCATATTACCGTGTTCAATAACCGTGTTACCAAGTGCAACTGATAGGAAGTGGTACTCAGGATAAGTAAGTGGTGTTTACACATTAGTTAGAGTTCCATTATAGTGGTGTTACATTAGAGTGGTGTTACAATAGTAGTCTGGATCCGTTCCTGCTAGCCACAGAAGCTGCTCTCTCCATTATAATGATGGTGGCCATATTGTTTCTATCATATTCCTGTCTGGGTCTTATGTCGTTCGGTGGGGGGTTATATATGACTACTACTATAATTTTCTGTCCTCCAGTTGCTATGGTGCCTGATATGTAGTCACTGAAACCATCACAGCCCTGAACAACCATCTCAGTCTGTTGGAACATTCACTCAGTCTGTCTAGGTCATCTTGTAGCCTCCTACTATCATCCTCCGTTTCAATCCTCCTCATAAGTTTTTGCATCATCGACAAACATTGAGAGAAACGATTCTATACCCTCTGGGAGATCATTTACATATATCAGAAACAGTATAGGTCCAAGGACTGACCCCTGCGGGACTCCACTTGTAACGTCTCACCAATCTGAGACCTCACCCCTCACACTGACTCTTTGTCTCCTGTTGCTTAGGTACTCCTTTATCCAATGGAGTATCTTCCCGTTCACTCCAGCCTGCATCTCCAACTTTTTCACTAACCTCTTGTGTGGTACTGTATCAAAGACTTTCTGACAATCCAAAAATACGCAGTCTGCCCACCCTTTTCTTTCTTGCCTGATTTTTGTTGCCTGGTCGTAGAATTCAAGTAACCCTGTAAGGCAGGACGTGCCATCCCTGAACCCATGTTGATGCTGTGTTACAAAGTTCTTTCCCTCCAGATGCTCCACTAGCTTTCTTCGCACAATCTTCGCCATCAGCTTGCATGGTATGCAGGTTAGGGACACTGGCCTGTAGTTCAGTGCCTCCTGTCTATCCCCTATTATTGTATATCGGGACTACGTTAGTTGCTTTCCAAATATCTGGCAGTTCCCCTGTTGCCAGTGATTTGTTATACACTACGGCAGTGTGTATGCCATAGTGTATACACACACACACACGTGTGTATACACACACACACACTATGTGTGTGTGTGTGTGTTTGTGTGTGTGTATTCACCTAGTTGTATTCACCTAGTTGTGTTTGCGGGGGTTGAGCTTTGCTCTTTCGGCCCGCCTCTCAACTGTCAATCAACTGTTTACTAACTACGTTTTTTTTCCCTACACCACACACACACAACCCAGGAAGCAGCCCGTGACAGCTAACTAACTCCCAGGTACCCATTTACTGCTAGGTAACAGGGACATTCAGGTTGAAAGAAAAATTTCCCATTTGTTTCTTCCTTGTGCGGGAATCGAACCCGCGCCACAGAATTACGAGTCCTGCACGCTATCCACAGGCTACGTGGCCCCACAACCTGTGTGTGTGTGTGTGTGTGTGTGTGTGTGTGTGTGTGTGTGTGTGTGTGTGTGTGTGTGTGTGTGTGTGTGTGTGTGTGTGTGTGTGTGTTGAGTGTGTGTGAGTGAGTGTGAGTGAGTGTGTGTGTGTGTGTGTGTGTGTGTGTGTGTGTGTGTGTGTGTGTGTGTGTGTGTGTGTGTGTGTGTGTGTGTGTGTGTGTGTGTGTGTGTGTGTGTGTGTGTGTGTGTGTGTGTGTGTGTGAGTGTGTGAGTGTGTGAGTGTGTGTGTGTAAGCTTCTTCTTCACATGTGTGTGTTTCCTGTTTGTGCTTGCAGTGTTGAACTGTTAGCTCATGAACCTCGGCTTTCTAGCCGTCGGTTGTCTAATGTACTGACTCTCAACCTAATTTTTTCTTTAATGTCTACTTCAAATGTTACTCAGTATGAGGGGTCATCAAGACCCTCACACTAAGAAAGAGGGACTTACTGCCCATACGACTCGACTGGGACTTCAAATTCTAGGAATAATCTTATCTCTCAGATGTTGAACATCAAAATTTCATCCTTACCAAATTTGTCAGTTCTCCTCAGACTCTTGTTGGTGTGTTGTGTCTCCCACAGTCACACCTGGGTCACGCTCACGTCTCCCACACAGTCACACCTGGGTCACGCTCACGTCTCCCACACATTCACACCTGGGTCACGCTAACGTCTCCCACACAGTCACACCTGGGTCACGCTAACGTCTCCCACACAGTCACACCTGGGTCACGCTCACGTCTCCCACACAGTCACACCTGGGTCACGCTAACGTCTCCCACACAGTCACACCTGGGTCACGCTCACGTCTCCCACACAGTCACACCTGGGTCACGCTCACGTCTCCCACACAGTCACACCTGGATCACGCTCACGTCTCCCACACAGTCACACCTGGGTCACGCTCACGTCTCCCACACAGTCACACCTGGGACATGCTCACGTCTCCCACACAGTCACACCTGGGTCACGCTCACGTCTCCCACACAGTCACACCTGGGTCACACTCACGTCTCCCACACAGTCACACCTGGGTCACGCTCACGTCTCCCACACAGTCACACCTGGGTCACGCTCACGTCTCCCACACAGTCACACCTGTTGGAAATTTCCAACATAATACAACACAGTTGTATTATTATTAATTATTACTAAAATTTACTAATTGCTGTAGTAACTAAAATTAACCAACAGTAGAGTTCACATGTACTAATAATTGTATCTGTACAATAATGCTAGAATTCTTACGTAACCAGACGCCAGTATTGCGTCAGATTCTACCATAATAAACACATTTATATCCAGTGTGTCAGAGAATTGAGTTTGATTCTCTAAAAACAACGGTGTTCTGTGTGATGATTATTTACCGATAACTTGACTCCCAAATAATGCCAAATCAAGCGTTTCTAGTTACAACTGTTATCTGGTAATAAATTTTACGTCACACGTGAATGCCCTGGAGAGAATTAAATTCATCTCCATTGCTCGTTTACCATCGTAAAACGAGCAAATAATAATATTTAACTCCCCTGAATAATGAACCCATCATTATCCCAGCATTTTAGCCGCAACTGCGAGAAATAATATTATTTGTAGTAAATAATTTGTGTAGCAAATGCGGGATGCAGAGCGGGGCAGGGGAGACGCCACTGAGAGCGTGTGGAGGCGTCATCGAGAGAGGAAAGTCGCGACTGTGCGGTGTGAAGAATAGTTGCGGAATTGAGCAACTTAGCTGGTGTCAGTGTCATAGGATACATTGTGGTGAATCGTCAACGAGAATTAACTTGACATTCAGCCCGGAACCTGTTAATTTGTTCCGTGTAGTCCATCGTGACCGGCCAGAGAAGCGCGTCGACATCTAGGCTAGGCTCAACTCCACGTGTTCGCTATTACGACGCTAGAGCCTAGGACGCGAGCTTCGGCAAGCTTCAACTTACACAGTGCCCTATTAGCTAAGTACCTTTATTCCCTTTTGATGCATCATTAGAGATAGGTTACAGCAGGGTAGCTTGTCGTCACGCCGAGCGACATAAATAAAACACATGTTAGTATCAATTTCCACTCTCCATTTCCAATTTCTTGAATATAGATATTTGTAGCTTAATATGTTGCTACGTAATATATCTTGATTTACAGCTTGCGTGTGAAGAATTCCCCGAGCTGTCATTTTCCCGTGTTAATCATCTCCCAGTGTTCCATGATGAGTTCAGAAGATTCCGAGGATGATTCATGACTGATGTCTTGGAAAACGTCTTCAAGCTAAGACCCCTTTCCGTATTCCATTAATTAAATTATCTGTATGGAATTATTACTATTGATCACTGTTCACTGGATTTAACACGTGTTTATTATAATCATTAATTTCTGATATTCATAATCTATGTTCTTATTGGTGACAAATTCTCTATTGGTTCTAAAATTGGTCATAGGATTAGGTTATTACATAATGAACTGGTGTACGAACCACACTAGCTCCTAGACATATATAAAGCTCTAGTAATACCCCCCAATGTAGGTGTTTGAGGCTTTGATTCAATTAAATTATATACAGCCCATTAATTATACAAGTGATTATATTCTCTAGTATTTATCCATAGTTACTGGTTCCTCTAGGAAATTTCTAATGATCACATTTTATTAGTTTCCCTCTTTACTATAAAAGCGGGTGGTCCTTAAACAGGCACCACGGGCTCACCATAGCCCGTGCTACTTGGAACTTTTTGTTCCAGGTAGCGAATCTTTAACAACAACAACGGGTGGTCCTTCGTAATTGATTTCGTTACATTAATATTTAAATAAATAGAGTCAAGCCCCAAATGTCCCACATTACGGTCCTTATCGAACCGGATAAACATAAATTATAATTATAAATACTAATTAGTAATAACTAA